GAGCTTTGCTTTTCCATATAAATTTTGGAGTCAATTTTTATAGTTTCTAGAAAAGTCTATTAAGCACTTGACCCATTAAAATCCAGTATCTATCGGGTTGCCTAGGTGGCTCAGTGGTTGAGCATCTGCCTTCGGCTCAGGTTGTGATCCTGGGATCTGGGATCGAGTCCTGCATTGAGCTCCCTGCATGGAGCCTGCTTCTCCCTCTACTTGTATCTCTCATGAATAAAAATAAATCTTTTAAAAAAATAAAATCCAGTGTTGATACTGTTATATATATACACACATACACACATCATCTTCATTGCTTTTATTTCTTTCCTGCATCTATGACCTTCCATCTAAAATAGTTTTCCTTTTGTCTGAAAAATGTCCTTTAATGTTTCCTTTAGAATGGATCTCTTGGTAATAAATGATCTCAGTATTTGTTACTCTTTAAATGTCCTTATTTCATCTTTCTTTCTTTCTTTCTTTTTTTAATAAAGATTTTATTTACTTATTTGAGAGAGAGAGAGAGAGAGCACACCCACGAGAGAGAGCAGGAGTTGGGTGGGAGGCACGGAGGGAGAAGGAGAAACAGACTACCTGCTGAACAGGGAGCCCAACATCAGGCTCAATCCCAGGACCATGGGATCATGACCTGAGCTAAAGGCAGACACAACTGACTGAGCCACCCAGGTGCTCCTCATCTTTATTTCTAAAGGATATTTTCTCCAGGTTTAGGATTTTAGATTGGCAGGTATTTTCTTTTAATACTTAACTATATCAGCCCATTGTCTTCTGAATTCAGTACTTTCAGTTAAGAAGTCAGCTGTCACTTTAATTGTTGTCCCTTTGAAGGTAATCTTTCCTCCCAGTAGCTTTTAAGATTTTATGCTTGTCTTATTATTTATTCTGAGGTGTATAGGTATATATTTCTTTTTATTTATCCTGATTTAGTTTTATAGGTTTTATAGAATTGGTTTTTTTGAATCTGTGATTTTTTAAATCCATTTTTAAAAATTCTCAGTCGCTATCTCTTCAAATATTGCGTTTGTCCCATTCTCTCTCCTTTCCTATCAGAACTCCAAAGACTTAAGTTTGACTTTCTCACTCTAGCTTATGCCTCTTGCTCTCTCTTCTAAATTTACTCTCATTTTGCCTCTTGGTGAGCAGGATGATTTTGCCCTCTAGTTCACTAATTATCTCTTCCAGTCTACTGTTAGAGTCATCTATTCAGTTCTAAATTTCAGATACTATATTTTTCAGTTCCATAATTTTTATTTGATTCTTTCTCAAATCCGTTTTGCCATTTTATGGTTTCCAATGCTTTCTTGAAAATGCCAATCTTGTTTTTTATCTCCTTGATTATAAAAAGTATAATTGTTTTATTTTACTTTTAAAGATTTTATTTATTGATTGATTTGAAAAAAAAGAGTGGGAGGAAGGGTGGGGGGAGAGGGAGAGACTCTATGCTCAGCTTGAAGCCCCATGCAGGAATTAATCTCACGACACTGAGATCATGATTTGAGCTGAAACCAAGAGTCAGTCACTTAACTGACTGAGCCACCTGGGTGCCCAAGAATAATTAAAGTCTGTGTCTTTCAGAGCCAGCACCTAGTTGGAACTAACTTGTAAGTGGTTACATAGTCTGTTATAAATGCTATTTCTTTTCATAGTGTCTTCTTCAAGTAAAATTTATTTAAAACCTAGCCAATATAGAGCGTAACATTAGTTTCAGGAGCACAATAGTGATTGCCAAACAGTTCCACGTATCACCTGGTACTCATCACAACAAATGTACTCCTTTATCCCCAAAACCTATTTTATCTATCCCCCCACCTACCTCCCTTCTGGTAATAATCAATTTGCTCTCTATAGTGTCTGTTTCTTGATTCTCTCTCTCTCTCTCTTTTCCCTTTTTGTCTCTTAAATTCCATATATGAGTGAAATCATATAGTATTTGTCTTTCTTTGACCAGCTTATTTCACTTGCATTATACTCTCTAGTTCATCCATATCATTGCAAATGGCAAGATTTCATTCTTTTTCATGGCCAAGTAATGGTCCATTGTGTGTGTGTGTGTATGTGTGTGGGTATACATACACACATATGTTTATCTATGAGTTGATGGGCAGTTGAGCCGTTTCCATAGTTTGGCTATTGTAGATAATGCTGCTATAAACGTTAAGGTGCATGTACCCCCTTGAATCAGTATTCTTGTATCCTTTGGGTAAATACCTAGTAGTGTGATTCTGGATCATAGGGTAGTTCTATTTTTAACTTTTTGAGTAACCTCCATACTCATTTCCACAGTAGCTGCACCAGTTTGCATTCCCACCAACAGTACACAAGGGTTTCCCTTTCTCCACATCCTCCCCAACACCTGTTTCTTATGTTTTTGATTTTATCCATTTTGACAGGTGTGAGTTGAATATCTCATTGTAATTCTGATTTGTATTTCCCTGATGATCAGTGATGTTGAGGATCTTTTCATGTGTTTTGGCCATCAGGATGTCTTCTTTGGAAAAATATTTATTCATGTCTTCTACCCATTTTTAATTGGATTATTCGTTTTTGGAGTGTTGAGTTTCATAAGTTCTTTATATATTTTGGTTACTAAACCTTTATCAGATATGTCATTTGCAGGGCACCTGGGTGTCTCAGTAGGTTAAGTGTCTGCTTTCCGCTTGGGTCATGATCCTGGGGTCCTTGGATTGAGCCCTACATTGGGCTCCTTGCTCAGTGGGAAGCCTGCTTCTCCCTCTGTCTTTGCCACTCCCCCTGCTTCTGTTCTCTCTCTTGCTCACTCTCTCTCTCAAATAAATATGTAAAATCTTTAAAAAAAAATGTCATTTGCAAATATCTTCTCCCATTCTGCCGGTTGCCTTTTAGTTTCGTTGACGGTTTCCTTTGCTGGGCAAAGCTTTTTATTTTGATGAAGTCCCAATAGTTTATTCTTACTTTTGTTTCAATTGCTTCAGGAGACATATCTAGAAAGAAGTTGCTACAGTCAATGTCAAAGGGGTTACTGCCTATGTTCTCCTCTAGGATTGAAATGGTTTGTCTCACATGTAGGTCTTTAATCTATTTTGCATTAATTTTTGTGTTTGGTGTAAGAAAGTAGTCCAGTTTCATTGTTTTGCATGTTGCTGTCCAGTTTTCCAAACACCATTTGGTGAAGACACTGTCTTTTTTCCATTGGATATTCTTTCCTGCTTTGTAGAAGATTAATTAGCCATACAGCTGTGGGTTCATTTCTGGGTTTGCTACTTTGTTCCATTGATCTATGTGTCCATTTTTGTGTCAGTGCCAACTGTTTTGATCACTATAGCTTTGTAATGTAACTTGAAGTCCAGAATTAGGATGCCTCCAGCTTTGCTTTTCTTTTTCAAGATTGCTTTGTTATTCAGGTGTCTTTTGCAGTTCCATACACACTGTGGGATTGTTTATTCTAGCTCTGTGAAAAATGCTGTTGGTATTCTGTTAGTGTGTAGATTAAATGTGTAGATTGCTTTGGGTAGTATAGACATTTTAACAACATTTTTTCTTACAATGAACATGGGATGTCTTTCCATTTCTTTGTGTCTTCTTCAATTTCTTTCATCAGTGTTCCAGCAAGGTAGAAGTCAAACTTTCCCTAAATACAGATGACACAACACTCTATACAGAAAACCCAAAAATGCCACCAAAAAACTGCTAGAACTGATTAATGAATTCAGTGAAGTTGTAGGATACATAACCAATGTACAGAAATCTGTTGCATTTCTTTGTCTTTTAAATTTTTTTTTATTTGAGTAGGCTCCTTGTTCAATGTGAGCCCCATGTGAGGCTTGAACTCAGAACTCTGAAATCAAGACCTGAACTGAGATCAAAGTTGGACCTTCAACCAACTGAGCCGCTCAGGTGCTCTGTTATATTTCTATACACCAATAATGAAGCAGTGGCAGAAAGAGAAATTAAGCAATCAATCCCATTTACCATTGCACCAAAAACAGTAAGATACCTAGGAATAGACCTAACCAAACAGGTGAAAGAACTGTACTCTGAAAACCACAAAACACTAAAGAAAGTAACTTTCATAGTAGCTTAACTCCTTCTGCCTGGTTATGTCTAATTGAAAGTTTCTCACTGTGTCAAAGAAATGTTTGTAGAAATAATTTGAGGTCCCCAGGAACATTAGCTGTTCAGGATCACTTCAATCCAATTTTAGGGACTAAGATTTTCTGGGTTACTCTGATAGAGTTGTAATTTGGGTTGTTTTCCTTCTTGATCACCTTTACAAAGCAGTCAGAGCACAAGAGATTTATCAGGGTTCCTATTCTTGGTAGACCCTGGAATCTACCTTTAGTTTCTTAAGCCCTATAAACTTTTAAAAGCATTATTTAGGGGCACCTGGGTGGCTCAGTTGGTTAAGCATCTGCTTTTGGCTCAGGTCATGATCCCAGGGTCCTGGGATTGAGTCTACATTGGGCTCCCTGCTCAGTGGGAAGTCTGTTTCTCCCCATCTCTCTGCCCCTCCCCCCATTACATACATGTGTGTGCATGCATATGCTCTCTGCTATCTTTCTCTTTCCAATAAATAAATAAAATCTTTTAAAACAAGCATGATTTAGCTTCTCAATGGACTCTTCTGGAAACAGAAATTCCCTAAGAAGATGGGGCCTGAAACCAACCTCTCTGGAGGTCAATCTCTTTGGATTTAAATACACACATAGATTTTGAATTGGTGATATTCATCACTTCGTTAATTCTCCAATGCCTTTATATATTTTTTCCCTTTTCTTCCTTTCTTTCTCCCTCCTTGTGTCCTTTCCTTCCTTCCTCTTTGATATCTTGCCTAGTTTTCTTGTTTTTCTCTACAGAAAGCTTGGTCCAAATGACGTAGTCTGCTTCACTGTAAGTGGAAATCTCCTCAATACAACTTCCTATCCTACTTAAGATTATAATACAATTTTCCCATGACATTAAATATTCTTCAAAATAATATTAAATTATATTCCTATAGAAAATATGTTTACCTGTTGTTCTAGGATCATATTCTTCTCTCGCTCTACATTGAGAACCATTCTCTTTGTATATTCTAGTTGCTTCTCTAGAAGAGTACAGCGAGACTGGGCTGAGCTTAACTGTATAGTAATATCTGTGAAAAAGCAAAAGTAATAATGTGTTATCACATAAATCAGAGATTTGGTTATCACAAGAAATACATTATATAAATCCAATCAAGAACTAAAAGTTTAAGGATCCTTTAGTTATTTTTTTTTTTTTTTAAGATTTATTTATTTTATTCAGCACGAGAGAGAGACTGAGAGGCAGAGACACAGGCAGAGGGAGAAGCAGGCTCCATGCAGGGAGCCCGACATGGGACTCGATCCCAGATCCCCAGGATCACACCCCAGGCTGCAGGCGGCGCCAAACTGCTGCACCACTGGGGCTGCCCGGATTCTTTAGTTCTAAGTACTGACTCTGTAAGAGTTGTGGACATACATTTTGTGAATATCTCATTAACTGCATATAACTAGTTTAACATTGTCTTCCCCTAAAGACCCAAAGAGCAAACTTCTGCTTTCAGTGAGATGTCAGTGACTTGTGGAGTGATAAAAGTCCTGGCTATTCTTGGGAAATGACATCATCTGGAAAAATAGAGGACCTAAAGTCTCTTTCCTATCAATATATTTTTCTCTTTCAGGAAACTCAGGTATATGCATTCTTCCATTCCCATTTCCTCTGCTCCTGACTATTGACAGCATAGTTATTTCCTAAGCTGTAAGCAACCTCTTTCTAATCCTTTAACTTTTTACTTTCCTTAGTTCTTTCTTTCACTCTTGTCCATTTATCTCAGAAAAATTTTTCTCATTTCTTCACTCTATTTATAAGTTGAAACACAAACTTGAACCTTATTTATCAGGATGAATGTAGTAAAAGGAAAAGGAAAGCCATACATTATGAAGTAAAAATTATATAAAGAACTTATGTTCTAAATCTCTAAAACTTATGTCCAGATGTCCTTTCTGTAAATTCTACAGAAACTTCTAGTTACTATTTCCTCTAATCTCCTCTAATTAATCTTTCAAGTTAATCAAAGTTTTTATTTATTTTTATGGTTTCTGTATTTAATTACTAGTGTTGCTTTATATTTTCAAATTTTAAAAACCAATGTTGACTGAAAATATAAAGTATTTCAATTATATTATGGGTAAAACGAGATTTTGTTGGTATTCTGAAAATATTCTAATTTCTAAACACAATTTGTCTAAAAACTTAATTTTTCTTTTAATCTCAAGAATTTACAAACTGGAATAAAATGTAATAGAAGTAAGCTCAAAATGATATCCATTTAATGCAAATATCAAATTATCTGTGAAAAAGGCCTCAAGGTTTGAATATATATAAGAATAAAGAATTTGAGTAAATCTTAGACTGGGCTTATTATTTTCAAGTTGTAAACTCTGATAACTCTTTGTTTCTGAGGGCTATTAGATTTCCTCACCCTTTTTCTGCTTTATCAGTTCCTGGTGTGCCAAATTTCTCTCATTTGTTTCTTTCTCCAAGGCCTTTTTATACTCTGCTGCTTCTCTGGAGAGAATGTTTAGGTTATCTTCAGCTTGTGTTCTCTCCAATTCTAAACGATGAATCTTTTCCTGAAGAGTTTTTAAGGCTAACATAAGAGCTGTTGAAAAAAAATTTGCTTGTTACTTCAGTGAAAATTTGTGAACATTTACATAGTAGCAATAAAAGTGAACACTATATTTTTGTTAGTGAGCCAGAAAAACATATAAGCAATATATATCCCCCCTCCCCAAATCACTAAAACTCTACAGAGGGACAAACTTTTCCAACATATCCTCCAAAAACAGTATATTTATGATTATATTTAGTTATTTTCTAGATTTGAGACAACCAATAATCAAAATTTAATTCAATAAAATAATTATCTTCAAATAATGTACAGCCTAGGAGTCATAAGAATCTGAGTATGGGGATCCCTGGGTGGCGCAGCGGTTTAGTGCCTGCCTTTGGCCCAGGGCGCGATCCTGGAGACCCGGGATCGAATCCCACGTCAGGCTCCCGGTGCATGGAGCCTGCTTCTCCCTCTGCCTGTGTCTCTGCTTCTCTCTCTCTCTCTCTGTGTGTGTGTGACTATCATAAAAAAAAAAAAAAAAGAATCTGAGTATGGATAAAGAAAATGAAGATATAGTATCACTCATTGACAAGGAAATTTAGGTTTAATGTTAAAGCTGTGTTTCAGTTCTTGATATTTTTAGTTTTAGTTAAATCACAAACATTTATTGTTTCTTTGTCTAAGATATAGTACTAATAATCAGAGCATATGTGTTACAATACAATTTCTTCCACCAGAAAAAAAAAATTATAACCTAGTGATTTAACTCATGTCAGGCTTGAAAGATTTTAAGTGGTATATATACTACTGTGATTTTGATTTAGCTATATTAATATCATCATGATTCAGGTAAGTTCAGAGTCATAAAATTTTCAAATAACACTTTCTATTCAGTTATAACTTCAAACCAGAAAACTAGAGAGGAATGGAATATAAGTAAATGCTATAGGTTAATTTTCCTATGCCAGCATACCTTGCTTTATTGTGCTTCACTTTGTTGCACTTCACAGATAACACATTTTTTATAAATTGAAGGTTTGCAGCAATCTATGCTGAGTAAATTTACTAGCACCATTTTCCCAACAGCATTTGCTTATTTCATGTTTCTGGGTCACATTCTGGTAATTTCAAACTTTTCATTATTAATATATTTGCTTAGGAGATCTGTGATCAGTGATTACGACTCACTGAAAGCTCAGATGATCTTAATATTTTTAGCAATAAAGTATTTTTTAGTTATGATGTGTAGCACATTGTTTTTTTTTAGAGACAATGCTACTGCACAATTAATGGTCTACAGTATAGTCCAAATGTAACTTTTTTATGCATTGGGAAACCAAAAAATTCATTTGTCTCAGTTTCTTGTGATATATATTCATTTTATTGTGCTGGTCTGGAACCGAATCCACAGTACCTCCAAGGTATGCCTGGAATTTATATCCAATTAGAAATAGGTTTGCTAGAGATTACTATTTCCTTTTTCTTTTTTTGTTTTAAACACTACAATACTTATATTTTGTAGTTACTCCAATGTACTAGCTTCCCAAGGAATTTTCAAGGGTAATTTTGGAAACAGGCAATTTCTGAATTTAATCCTTGAATAAGATACTTTACTTAATTCACTAGTATTCTAATCATCTAGTTTAGAAGGATTCCAAATCTGACTTTTTAGGTCAAAGAGCATTTTCCTATTTTCTCATGATATTTAAGGATAAATTTGTAATATGTGTCTAGTTGGTTAATTTTCATCTTTTTAATAAAAGATTTTATTTAGTTATTTCACACAGAGAGAGAGAGGGAGAGCATGAGCAGAGGGCAGAGGGGAGGGGCACAGGGAGAGGGAGAAGTAGACTCCCCACTGAGCAGGGAGCCCAATGTGGGGCTTCATCCCAGGACCCTGGGACCATGACTTGATGGAAGGCAGATACTTAACAGACTGAGCTACCCAGATGCCCCTGGTTAATCCTCATCTCATAGCTCAAGAAGCCAAAATAAAAAATGTTAAATAACTTATCCATGGTTATAGAAACTTTAATCAACATCGTCAAAACTATTAGTTTTTTTTAAACTAATAGTTTTATTAAGATTAAACACACAATCATTATTTTTTACATACAAAGTTTTATATAACATATTTCATATCATTCTCCTAATTCTAAATATTATTTTATATTAGACTTACCTTGGCTATTTGGACTATGTAGCATTTTAGGAGAGGTACCTTCAATGTTTGCATAGTGGGGAGTCTGAGATGATTCATTATTCTGGGTAAATGATGGAAAAAACACTCTTTCTGGAGGTTTAAGATAGCTTCCGACTATACTATGCATTAATTCAGAATCCATTATCTGTAGAGAATAAAGGAATAATGTAGTATGGTATCATTCTTTCATATTTAAATGACAAAAATATTAGACAAAAATTCAAGTGAAACAACATAAATATATATCATATATTGTGGAGTTGTTTCTTTATGAAATTAATCATCACCAATTCAACTATAATAACTCAGCAATACAAGGAAGAAAAATGACTATTTACTGTATAAATAGTATGGACAATTCTGCTGATTTTCAGTGAGCACATGCTCTGGAGCGAGCACTAATTATATGGGTGGTGTGAATTTACTGGTTTCTCAGTTGATCATAAATTCATATACCTCTCCTCATCTAAGTATCTCTCTACAAACAGTATAACTCTAGGGTTTTTAGGGAAAATATAAATTTTAAAAGACAATATAGCTTTAAAACACAGGCCACCTATATAATCCAATCCTCGAAGACTGATTGTTGAACTCCAATGTACTGTCTTCCTAAGGAATTTTCAAGGGTAATTTTGGATATGTCAGTCTCTGAATCTAATCTTTGAATAAGATACAACTCCACTCAATGTACAGTATTCTCCCCCCCCCCTTTTTTTAAAGTAGGCTCCACACCCAGTGTGGACCCTAATGCAGGGCTCAAACTCATGATCATGAAATCAAGACCTGAGCCAAGATCAAGAGTTGGACACTTAAACAACTGAGCCACCCAGGTGCCCCAGTGCACCAGCATTCTAATCATAGTTTAGAATGGTTCTAAATCTGAAGAACCTAAAACAGCTTTATTTTGGCATTCTGGGAGGTTTTATTTAATTTTAATTTTTTATTTTTTAGGAGAGTTTTAGCAGATAATTTTTTGTCTAACTTTCCCCAAATCATTTGTTTTTCTTTCTGTAATTTCAATACTTTAGAAAAGGAGTCCCTTGGTGGCTTAGTTGGTTAAGTGTCCAACTCTTGATCTTGGCTCAGGTCGTGATCTCAGGGTTGTGAGATTGAGCTTTGCGGATCTAAGCTTGGGGTCTTGTTTGAGATTCTCTCTCTCCCTCTCTCTCTCTGCCCCTGCTCCCCTCTCTCCCTCCCTTAAAAAATGAAATAAAAATAAATTGAATATATTAGAAATGTATTCTACTTAAAGATTCTAATCAATGTTAATTAAATTCATAATCACATTGGAAGAAACAGTAATAATTGTTCACACAAAAAACAATTCTTTAAAATGTGAATTTAGGGGTGCCTAGGTGGCTCAGTCACTTAAGCATTTGGCTCTTAATTTTAGCTCAGGCCATGATCTCAGGATCATGAGATCAAGCCCTGTGGTGGGCTCTGTGCTCAGCATGAAGTCTGCTAGTCCCTTTCCTTCCCCCTCTGCTCCTCCCCTGTTGGGACAGGCTCTCTTTCTCTAAAATAAATAAAATCTTTAAAATGTAAATTTAGAATTCCATTATATAATTAGCCTATTTTAGTTTTTGAGAACTGCACATTTTCAGTGATTTTACTACCTTCCCAATTCATAAGGCAAAGAAAGACATTTCCCATGACTGTATTTCCTGGGAGGATACAGAACATACTTCATTCAGTAGGCTTTCCTACTTTAGCCACTGCCATGATTGGCTGTCTTGAGGATGTTCTGATTTGTCTATTTTGCAAGTTATATAACCTACGGGCACCTGAGTAGTTCAGTAAGTTGGGCATCCTGCTCTTGATTTTGGCTCAAGTCATGATCTCAGGGTCATGGGATCAAGCCCTATGTTGACCTCTAAGCTCAGCAGGGAGTCTGCTTGAGATTCTCTTCCCTCACCCTCCCCTCTTTGCCCCTCCCTCCCATTCACACACACATACTCTCTCTAAAATAAAAATAAATAAATCTTAAAAAAATAAAAATAAATAAAAGTTAAATAGTCTAGGAAGTGTTGCTAGAATATTTGATGCTCTTTGCTCTTGAGAAGCAATCATTTTTTGCTATTGTTATTCGTACCATCTACCATTTACTAACCAGGTCTCCATCCCTCCAGGTTTTTGCTGCTCCCCATGGGAGACTGCATCTATCTAAGTTGCTGTTTCCTTGAAAAACAAGAGAACAAAGTTAGTCACAGCTGGCTCACAATGAAGCAGAGGTAGGATCCCAAAATACAGAGGTTCTGAACATGGATGTACATCTTCAGAAAGAGGTATGTGGGGCAGCCCGGGTGGCTCAGCGGTTTAGCGCCACCTTCAGCCCAGGGTGTGATCCTGGAAACCCGGGATCGAGTCCCACGTCGGGCTCCCTGCATGGAGCCTGCTTCTCCCTCTGTCTGTGTCTCTGACTCTCTCTCTCTCTGTCTCTTATGAATAAATAAAATCTTAAAAAAAAAAAAGAAAAAGAAAGAAAGAGGTGTGTGGCTGAAGCTGGAATTACTCAAGATATCTCAGTTTTCGGCTCCTGGCGAGTTTCTCCAATAATAAAAAGAGTGAAATTTTGCCATTGGTCACTATACCCTGAGGTCCTCGGGAGGATTCTGCTTCCTTTTTACCAAATATAATATTTGTTTTACAAACTGGATTTTGCACCAGTTAAAAAAATAAATTCAAATTTGAGGTTTTTAATGTAAATGAAATGAGTACTTAGAAGATGCCAATAAGTTAAAAATTAGACTAAAGTTTATTTAAATGTGTAAAAACAGCTTAAAGTGGGCATAGGCAGAATAACAATCCACTGGTAGTTGAAGAAAAAGAAAGGAAGCAGTAAAGAAATGAGAGAAGACATGCTATGATGCTCAGGGGATGTCACTGTAATAGAGGTCCCAGTTTAACCCTTGCAATCTAGTCCTTTGTTATAAACAAGTGCCTAAGACCACTAGAAGTTTATTTACATACATAACTTTGGCATTCTAGGAGAAAAACTCACTCTGAAGATGGAAGAAGTATAGAAAGCTTGATCCAAAGTCAAAGCCGTACTTGATGGAGGAAAGGAGATGACCACCGTGGTGGTCATTCTTATTCATCCCTGATTCAGTCCCACGGACCCACATGTTGGTGTTAGGAAGGGAGAGGACTGTAAGTAAAAACTGAGAAATATTTCACCAATATTTCTATAAAAGGTAGGGGCATTAACTGTCCTGCCTTGTATGGAATGCTATATTCCAATAAAGAGGAAAGTTGCTAGAGACCACTAACACAGTTTTGGCATTTTGAGGTCTCTGTGCATTGTCCATACTGCTCAGCAAGAGTTAGAGAGCAGCTGAAAGGAATATATTCATGGGCATGTATGACGGAAATTTCTAGAGAAAAAATTTCTGAAAATAAAGAGAGGTGCCTAAGCCCCAACCTCCAAGGATTCTGGCATGTCTGGTATGGAGCCTAGCTGTAGATCATTAAAAAGACCTCAGGAAATCTTGTGGAGTATTTCAGAGGATTTGCAAGTGGGGGCAAAAGGCTGTGAAATGTGGGCCTCATTTGCATCAATAATCTGGTAAAGTTTAGGGAAACTCAAGTTATAACTAGAACCATTAATGACAGCTTGTATACAACCAGGGAAATTACCCATTTTCTCTATGGTATATAAAATTAAGATACCTTCATGGGCTAAACTAAGGAGCCACTGCATAAAGAATTACCGCCCCCCCCAAAAAAAAAACTGTGCTAGACACAAACACTGTACTGCAAAGCCTTTTAACTCATTCTTTAGGAAGCAATTGTTCCAAAATGGTCCTTTTTAACAACCAGCATCTATTCCTGCTAGTGGCTGAATATGCCATCATTTCTGCATAAACCCATAGGACTACTAGAGAGGCGGCATTAGGAGACAGAGATACTACAATGGGTTTTAGGAATGGGGTACTCTGTTTCCTATACTGCTAAATTTTGTTGTTAGTGTTGTTTTTGAGAGAGAGCGAGAGCAAGAGAAAGAGAGAGAGAGAGAGAATGTGTGTGTGAGATAGGGGCAGAGGAAGAGAGAATCTTAAGCACAAAGCCCAATGTGAGGCTTGATCCGACCACCCTGAGATCATGACCTTAGCCAAAACCAGGAGTTGAACACTTAACCAACTGAGTCACCCAGGCACCCCACCCTATACTACTAATTCTTTCAAGTTTAGATTTTAACTTAGTGAAACTGGAGAAAGATCAACAGCTATTTCATTTACCTGGTTTTCTTTGTGTATGCATCTAGGTTAGCTTACTTTAAGAGTAAACTCAGTAAAAGTTAAAACTAACTGTATTTTATTTTTAATATATAGCACTTTAAAAAGTACTATAACTATTGAGTAGGATAATTTGTGGTTACAGAACTTGCCTTATAGATACCCTAATAGATATTACAAACTTATAGTATACATCTAAAATGTTAAGACAGTGATATAAAAACCAACTGATCAGTGGAAACTAGTACATATAAGAGTTTAACATAAATACTTGCATGGGTTTATTCCATGTTTGTTGATTAAATAAATGTTAGAAAAATTTTAGGAAAAAGAATAGTTAAACCTTTATCTTACTCCATTCATCAACGGAAATTTCAAATATTTCATAGAGCCAGCTAATAATTAAAAACTTCAAAAATTATTTAAAAAATAAATGAATAGCTAAAACAATCTTAGAAACAGTAAGGTGTTTCGCATTTAAAACTATGGTAAAAATAGGGACGCCTGGGTAGCTCAGGGGTTGTGCATCTGCCTTTGGCTCAGGGCGTGATCCTGGAGTTCCTGGAGCCCATTTCTCCCTCTATGTCTCTGCCTCTCTCTGTGTCTCTCATGAATAAATAAATAAAATCTTTATTTTATTATTTTTAAATAAAATCTTTAAAAAAACAACTATGGTAAGAATAAAAGATACAAAGGCTAAATTAAAATTCATACTATAAAATATAAAAATAACGAACAAAAGTGAAAGGCAAAAGAATTCAAAAGAGGGACACCTGGGTGGCTCAGTCAGTTAACCCTCTGACTCTTGATTTTGGCTCAGGTCATGATCTCAGGGTTGTGAAATCAGTCTTTGCTCAGTGGGGAGTTTGCTTTCTCTCCTTCTCCCTTTATTCCTCCCCCCTCTCCCCCACTCATGTGCTCTCTCTTTCTCCAAAACAAATTAATATATCTCAAAAAAAAGAATGAGAAAGAAAATATTTATGATGAAGGACAAAGGGTTAATATTGCTAATATAGAAAAAGCTTTTATATAAATAAATTATATAAATCTAGTATATAACACCATAATAGAAAAATGCCAAAAGATTACAAGTCAATTTACAGAAAAATGTAGCCAATAAAAAAATAAATCTTAGCAATAATGAAAGAAAAGCAGTTATATCCAGTTATAAAAGTAACCTTTGGAGTTTGACCTCAGTTCAAATCCTGGACCTGCCACTTACCATCTTTCTGACTTTCAGAAAAACTTTTACTTTTCTGGGTCTCAATTTCCTTCTCTACATAATTAGAATGTATCTCATAGGGTGCTATAATTAGATGAGATAAGATAGTGTATATAAAGCACTCAATTTATGTCTGCAGAATATGCACTTTCTGTGAGCAAAATATGTATTTGATAAATGACAGCCATATTTATTTTAAAAGAAAACATATTTCCAATGAATTATAATGGAATGGGACAGAATTAAACCTAGTAGAAAACAGAGTGTGTCTCATGTGGTAAAGGTAAAATCAACCCATATTTATTTTAAAAGAAAACAAGGAAATACCATTCTTTTACATTTCAAAGTTCTTTTAAGGGCACAAAAATAGGCCAAAGGTCTAGAATAGTCAGAACACTTTTGAAGAACAATAGTATAAAGAAATTTGTCCCGTCAGTTATCAAGACTTAACATGAAACAAAAATAACTGAAACAGTGATACAGTTAAGAGGGACAGATGAATAGACTAATAGAACACAATAGCTTAGAAAGAGATCAAACCTTTGTAATAACTTGATAAATGACAAAAGTAGAACTTCGTATCAGTGGAGAACAGCTGGCCTATAATTGGTGACTATTGTCCTATAATTGGTGACAATCAGGCCAATTGATCTTCAAAATTTAAAAACTGGATCCCCATTTCACACTATATAAAAAATTAAATCCATATGTGTTAAAAACTAAAATGTAAAAAGCAGTATATCTGGGAGAAAATGTTTTTAGCAGCTTGGGTTACAAAGTCTTTTTAAAACATGAAACAAAAGTCCCTAACTATTAAGTGAGAAGATTAATTTAACATTAAAAAAATCATAAAATACCATTACAAAGGTGAAAAGAAAATCCATGGCCTGAGAGAGGATATTTACATGAATATAGCTAACAAATAATTAGGAAAATAAGATATTAAATTTTAAGAGATGACATACCCAATAAAAAAGGGACAAAAGTTATTCATTGAACAACTGTGTAGTGAAAAAGAATGAACTAGACAGCAACATGTACCCTCATGGACAAATCTTAAAAATATGATGGAGGGGATCCCTGGGTGGCTCAGTGGTTTAAGCGCCTCCCTTCAGTCCAGGGCGTGATCCTAGGGTCCAGGGATCGAATCCCACGTTGGGCTCCCTGCATGGAGCCTACTTATCCCTCTGCCTGTGTCTCTGCCTCTCTCTCTCTCTCTCTCTCTCCCCGTCTCTCATGAATAAATAAAATCTTAAAAAAAAATGATGAAGGAAAAAAAGGATATGCAGAAGAATATGTTCAATATATCAGGCATGTAAAAATAGTATTACAAATTATTACACATACATATTCATATGTATCAAAGTATAAAGACAAGCAAAAGATAATACCAAAATCAGAATGGTAGTTAAGAGGGTGAGAGTACAAAGAGGTGATTAGAGAGGGGCATTCAGGTGTTGGTTATACAGTTTAGTGAATCTTTTTTTTTTTAATCTTTTTATATAACTGACTTTATTTTTGAAAATTTTAGAAAGTAGCAATTTAAATATAGATCATTCTTGCTACTCTGCAAACTTGAGAATGGCCAACTTGTATTGAATTCTTACTGTGATTTGAGGCCCTGTACATGCAGTATCTCATCTAAACCTTTTAACTATTCTATGAGGTAGGTATTATTATTACTATTATTTTCATTTTACAAATAAAGAGGCAGAGAGGTCACTCAAGGTCATACAACTTGCAAGTGGTGAAGCCAGGATTTAAACCTAGCCAGTTCAATTCCAAAGCCTAGGTTCTTAATCACTATGTTAAATAGCCCAGAGTTTATGGACATTTGCAGTTAGCCAGGTGTGAGATGATGATGTTGCATTTGGATTAGAGTGGTGACAATGGAGATGAAGAGAGCGTATAGAAGCAGGATTTATCTTGAAGATGTAAGTAATGAACTGGATGATTAGAGGAAATCATCCTCTAAGAGGAAAAGGGAGAAATCAAGTTTTCTAGCTTAAATAACTGGGTAGATGATAGTGCCATTTATTTAAAAAAATACTAAGATAATAGCTAATACTCATATAGTACTGATATGTGTCAAATGCTAGTCTGAGTGTAAGACATCCAAGATAAGACATGAAATAGGTAGTTTCACAGAAGAGTCTAAATTAGGTTGGAGGAGAGATCTAGTATAGAAATATAAATAATTGCATTATCAGCATATGGATGGTATAGAAAATAGAAGTCACTAAAAAGGAAGAGTATATATAGAAAAGATTTAAGATAAGGAAGGAAAACAAGAGAAAGGAAACCTATAAGGGGAAAAGAATCAGAAAAGCATGATGTCAGAAATGAAGAGAGGAGACTATTTCAAGAAGGGGCTCTTGAGGGTAGTATTAATATATAATAAATAAAAGTAATTTCTCTCCCTTATGGCTTTTAGATGGAATGCCTCCCATTGTGTCCGGGTTCTCTGTGATGATCCCATCTCCAGATTTCCCTGGACCCTGGATGGATTCCATTGCTGTGGAATAGAGGACCCTCTGCATCCCAGACCGCTTAGTATCAGGCACATTTTGTGAATTCTCCTCTTCTTTCTCTTTGAGGGTATGGTCTAAGATGTGGATTCCCAGCAAAAGGCTATGGTCCATGATTTTGAAGCTTTCCAGCACCCGGCAGTCTCTCTGAAGTGTTTTCATGAGCGCGTTGTATGTTTCTGCGTCAAAGTATAACCCTTCGTGCATGTCTTGCAGGAAATCTAAGTCCTTAAACGTGGGGTTGGATTTTTCTCTCTCCTTTCGGGATGCTCTTTGCTTATAAGTGGAGCCTTTCAGGTCATAAGTGAAGTGCATTCTCATGGAGCGCGGTAAGATGTTGTTCATTACCACAATCCTGATATTAATGCCCCCTGATTGCATGCAATACAGTCCGTAAAATTTTGGCAAGAGAGTCCTTGGGTTCTGGTTTAAATTCATGTAATAGCCTGGCAGTAGCTTCTGAAGGAATTCAGCTTCTTTATGCTGAACGGTTTTGATGATAAATTCATCATCACTGGTCACAAAAAACAAGGATCCACTGGCTCCAGGGTTAGACAGCTCTATTAGAGGTTCACTGCAGATGGAATACAAGTAATCATCAGGTCTGATACCAAAAAGTTCTCTGAAATATCGGAATGCTAGTGAAGCATACGTCTTAAATCTGAAGTCTGGGTAATGATGTGCTGGGGTCAGATTGTCTCCTTCACTGGGCAGGAACATGCTTTCCACCACATAAAAGTCTTGCATGAGGACATCTCTATCTGGCTTGGAAGTGAGATTCCCCACTGTGTATCCTATTCTCAGCTGAATAGCACCTTTGATAGCAGATGATGCAGTCTTTTTATAAGTTTTTTTTCTTCATTCTGTTTTCCAGGTGTGGCATCTCCATTTTCAGCAGCAGACGACATCTTTGTGAATGAAATGGCAAGTCATCTGCAGTCGGTCATGGTGGGGGACCTATTCATTGTTGAAAATGTTTTCCTTCCCAAGTTTCTCACCCGGGCAGCATTCGGGGGCCTCTGCTGTCGAGACCAGTTGCGCCACAGTCTGCAGGTTCTCTGGATGTAGTTGCCTCCCCACGGCGCCGGGAGCTCTGTGCCAGCGAGGGGCAGGAGGGGGCGGGGGCTATTTCAAGAAGTCGTTTATTTTTTTTTTAAGAATTTATTTATTTATTTATTTATTCATTCATTCATTCATTCATTCATTCATTCATGAGAGACACACACAGAGACACAGGCAGAGGGAGAAGCAGGCTCCACGCAGGGAGCCCAACGAGGGACTCGATTCCCTAACTCCAGGATCACGCCCTGGGCCTAAGGCAGGCGCTAAACCGCTAGCCACCCAGGTATACCCAAAGGAGTAGTTTAGATAAAAAAAAAAAAAAAAAGTCAACCGATTTTGAAGAGGAAGAGACTACTGATGGTATAATGTAAGAACTGAAGACAGTTCCAAAGGCCCCATACTAAAATGGCATGTAGAGGAAGAGAAACTAGTAAAGACATAGAAATTTTATTCAAATTAGGATGTCCTTTTGCAGAGAACTTCAATTACCTGCCTTAAAATCACACAGCACTCATAAATTGTGTCAGGTCATCCATCCTGTGAGCTAACCTGCCATAAGTCACCGTGCAATTAAGTGTACCCATCATGCAAGTCACTTGCACAGCTAATAATTTTCATTCTTGAAAACTTCTTGGCAGGAACTACATTATATACATTTTCACTGACCGAATTCATTATTCCTCCAAAATTCATATGTTGATGCTCTCACCTCCAGTATTTTAGACTGACTGTATTTAGAGATAGGGCCTTAAAAAGGTGATCAAGTTTAAACGAAACTTTTAGGATTGGCTCTAATCCAATCTAACTGGTGTCCTTGTAAAAAGAGGAAATTTGGATATACAAATTTTATGCCAGGGATATATCAGGAAAGACCAAGTGAAGCCAGTGGGAAGACAACCATCTGCAAGCCAAAGAGAGAGACCTCAGAAGAAACCAATCTACTGACATCTTGATCTCAGACTTGTAGCATCCAGAACTGTGAGAAATAAATTTCAGTTGTTTAAGGCACCCAGTCTGTGGTATGGTATTTGTTTCCGAAGCCCTAGCAAACTAACATACTGACTGTAACTTATACCTTTGTTTCACAGTGAATGAAACACAGGAATAGTGACAGGGATATAACAACACACGCTTAAGGTTTATGCTATTCAGATGACATAATAAAGTTATTTGCAATTTAGAGTTTTCTACTTGATAAGATGTGAAAGTTATGTAACTCTGCCTTGATTTATTTTCCCCCTATAATTGACCTTTACTAATTTCTTAAGCTTAATAAATTGAAGAGTAAATTATTAATGTGCTATCGTGTATGCAATAATTTAAAATAATTAAAAATTTCCCAGCATAATCAAATGGGAGAATAAAACTAAAATCGTGCTTTTGACTCATATTTAATTTATATGTATTTGTATTAGTTTTTTATCCAAATTTTAGCATTTTTACCCAAAATACTGTAAAATATTTATTCCATTAATTGTTTATATTAAAAATGAAAGAATACTGCTATAGATAAGAATTAAAGTGTCATGGAAAAATTATAGCATTGTAAAGTTATAAAAATATGAGACATTTGAATTACAGGGACATTCAAAATAACTAACTGAAGGTTAAGGTACAAATTCAGGTAACTTTAGAATACAGTGAAATAAAAGTCTTTGATTTTTTTAAAAAAATTATTTATTTGAGAGAGAGCACATGGGGTGGGGAGAGTGGCAGAAGCTGTCTCCCCACTGACCAAGGAGCCCAACATGGGGCTCGGTCCTAGGATCCTGAGATCATGACCTGAGCCAAAGGCAGATGCTTAACCTACTAACCCACCCAGGCGCCTCTAAAGTCTGGTTTTTAAAAAAGCATTATCTCATATTTTCCTCCAATAAGTATTAAGAGGTAGCAAAGGATATATTTCAAGTTATTTAGTTTGAAACAGTGGTGACTATATTCAAAACATTTAAGAAGTCCATGGTACCATCAATCTGTATAAGTCATAAATATTTGGGAGTTCTAGAAATATGGGGAAATTTCATATATCTATTTAAAATTTAGATCAGCTGCAATATTCTCAGTTTATAGATATAGGAGCCAAAGTCCAGAGACACTAACTAATTTGCTTAAGGTCACACAGCTCAAATTTCCTGCACTCCAAAATCCATGAAGCTAGAGAAAAATATTCTCTCTTAAGGACTCTGGTTGATTTAGATTGATCTAAACGGAGACTATCCTAATGGAAAGTCATCAGGAAAATGCCTTCTGGAGAGAAATGGGAGGTAAGAAACACTGAACCAAGCATAGAATCATGTAATCTTAGTAGAGTCTCCGAGCATCTTAGAGGCCATCTGTTCTAATTGTTTCTATCAACACGAACTTGTTCTCACACAATCTTTAACAAGTCATCTAAGCTCTGCTAAAGGTCTTCAGAAAGACAGAGTTCATCATGCTGAATTCAAAGCTGCTTTCTCTGATTTTCATGGATTAAACAGATTTGGGGAGAAAAAAGTAGAGCTTCTAACTTATTGATGTAGATGTTGCATTGAACATTGGTAACTATTATATTACATACTGAATTCAACTAACAAAAACTTGCTGAAGAATTTGTAATCACTTTCAAACTTCAAATTTCATCAGCGTAACTGAAACGCCTGTTAAAGAGTAAGCCCATCCCCCAATTAGGGCAAAATTGATAAACCAAATGGAGATGACTCAATCATATAACTGATAATTTATTTCTGATTAAATCTCAGTAGATCCAGATTAACACAGCTGAATACTAACTTAGGAGATGACTTTAACATGCTCTGGTCACCAAGACCAGAAGATTCCTTCCTTCTTAATACCTTAATAGTGTTTTTTTTTAATAAATTAATTTTTATTGGTGTTCAATTTACCAACATACAGAATAACACCCAGTGCTCATCCCGTCAAGTGTCCCCCTCAGTGCCCGTCACCCATTCACCCCCACCCCCCGCCCTCCTCCCCTTCCACCACCCCTAGTTCGTTTCCCAGAGTTAGGAGTCTTTATGTTCTGTGTCCCTTTCTGATATTTCCCACACATTTCTTCTCCCTTCCCTTATATTCCCTTTCACTATTATTCATATTCCCCAAATGAATGAGAACATACACTGTTTGTCTTTCTCCGATTGACTTACTTCACTCAGCATAATACCCTCCAGTTCCATCCACGTTGAAGCAAATGGTGGGTATTTGTCGTTTCTAATGGGTGAGTAATATTCCATTGTATACATAAACCACATCTTCTTTATCCATTCATCTGTCGATGGACACCGAGGCTCCTTCCACAGTTTGGCTACTGTGGACATGGCTGCTAGAAACATCGGGGTGCAGGTGTCCCGGCGTTTCATTGCATCTGTATCTTTGGGGTAAATCCCCAACAGTGCAATTGCTGGGTCGTAGGGCAGGTCTATTTTTAACTCTTTGAGGAACCTCCACACAGTTCTCCAGAGTGGCTGCACCAGTTCACATTCCCACCAACAGTGTAAGAGGGTTCCCTTTTCTCCGCATCCTCTCCAACATTTGTTGTTTCCTGCCTTGTTAATTTTCCCCATTCTCTCTAGTGTGAGGTGGTATCTCATTGTGGTTTTGATTTGTATTTCCCTGATGGCCAGTGATGCAGAGCATTTTCTCATGTGCATGTTGGCATGTCTATGTCTTCCTCTGTGAGATTTCTCTTCATGTCCTTTGCCCATTTCATGATTGGATTGTTTGTTTCTTTGCTGTTGAGTTTAATAAGTTCTTTATAGATTTTGGAAACTAGCCCTTTATCTGATATGTTATTTGCAAATATCTTCTCCCAAAGTGTAGGTTGTCTTTGAGTTTTGTTGACTGTATCCTTTGCTGTGCAAAAGCTTCTTATCTTGATAAAGTCCCAATAGTTCATTTTTGCTTTTGTTTCTTTTGCTTTCGTGGATGTGGATGTATCTTGCAAGAAGTTACTGTGGCCAAGTTCAAAAAGGGTGTTGCCTGTGTTCTCCTCTAGGATTTTGATGGAATCTTGTCTCACATTTAGATCTTTCATCCATTTTGAGTTTATCTTTGTGTATGGTGCAAGAAAGTGGTCTAGTTTCATTCTTCTGCATGGGGATGTCCAATTTTCCCAGCACCATTTATTGAAGAGACTGTCTTTCTTCCAGTGGATAGTCTTTCCTCCTTTATCGAATATTAGTTGACCATAAAGTTCAGGGTCCACTTCTGGGTTCTCTATTCTGTTCCATTGATCTATGTGTCTGTTTTTGTGCCAGTACCACACTGTCTTGATGACCACAGCTTTGTAGTACAACCTGAAATCTGGCATTGTGATGCCCCCAGCTATGGTTTTCTTTTTTAAAATTCCCCTGGCTATTCGGGGTCTTTTCTTTTTTTTTTTTTAATAAATTAATTTTTATTGGTGTTCAATTTACCAACATACAGAATAACACCCAGTGCTCATCCCGTCAAGTGTCCCCCTCAGTGCCCGTCACCCATTCACCCCCACCCCCGCCCTCCTCCCCTTCCCCCACCCCTAGTTCGTTTCCCAGAGTTAGGAGTCTTTATGTTCTGTGTCCCTTTCTGATATTTCCCACACATTTCTTCTCCCTTCCCTTATATTCCCTTTCACTCCTTAATAGTGTTTTAAAAATGATTTACCATATACATAATACATACATGTATAGTTAAAGGAATTATAACAAAAAAAATTTCTTGTGTATCTCCACCTAGATTAAGAAAAGTGTGATAAATATTGCTGTGGAAGCCCTCTGTGCGCCTTCCCCATCTCTTGCTTTGAATTTTGTGTTACTCATTTTAATGCCTATCAAGTTTGATCACATTTATAAGTATCCTTACCAGTATATTATTTGGTGATGTAGTTTTTAAACTTTATATAAATGGAACCATACTTTTCTCACAAAGTATTTTGGTATTTATGTTGGAACATGAAGCTATATGGTATTCATTTTCACTTCTGTATAGTATTCCACCACAGAACACAGATCTTCGAAGGCATTAATTCCAATCACTCCCCTCCAGATTCATATAATACTATGATTCT